ATAAAATTTATCCAAAGACATTATTATGTTATTGTCAAGATACATTTGATTTCATGAAAGTCAATGGAAATCTTAATCACTGCATTTAATAATCTCTAACCATTAATCCTTTTTACTCTTGGGTGCATCTGGAACTTCAAAGTTTGCCCAAACACAAGCAAACTGCATGGTGTCAGATACACTGATACTAATGAAATTAAAGAATGAAATACCTTGATTATTTACACTGGGCCTAACCATTTTTGACTCTTGTACTTCCTCCTAATTACAGCTAACATTTTGTCACTGGGATTCTCATACTTCATCCTTTCCTCTGTCCCAACTGGGCAGTGCCAATCTGTACAGTGGCACAGCCATGCCACGCCAACACAACATCCCCTGATGGGAGAACAGGTGTTGGACAGGGTCCAGTGGAGCAGAGAGGAGTGGGCTGCCATGATATATCAGATGAACCGGCCAGCACAAACTCCCCTAGCCCGAGGGAGGGGGACCCAGCCATTTATTAAGTGAGTGTGTGTGTCTGTGAGTATGTGCGCGTAGGTTCTGGGGGTGTTTTTTTTTTTTTTTAAGGCGGGGGGGTGGCTGAACAACAGTAAATCCTAACAAAACTGATTGGAACTCAAGGACCCAACAGGGAAGTGAGTTAATCTGAGAAATCCCCAAACAAAAACTACATATGCTCGCTGGAAGCAAACATAAACCCAACAACAACAAAACATCTGTTACGATATCTTTTTTCAAAGGGACATGCAGAAAAAAGGAGATTGAGTGTTTTACCTCCAATTTTAAATGGCCTCAAAGCAAGTTTTTAAAGATTTGCTCTCATTTTGTAACTGAGTTGAAAAGAGACAATAATAAAAAATCTCAAAAATAGTTTCTCGAGCCTCTTTACTGCTAATTTTACAGGCAAATGACATTGAATATGATGATTTTCTAAGCCACTGTGGAGACATATTGGCATAGGCAATGCTTGTAATTCCTGTTAATGGCTTGAGTATAATATTTTATGTCCCGTTGCTATAGCCACGGTGCTTAACTTGGGATGTAAAAATAGTCCGGCCCATTCATTTTAGTATAAATACCTCACTTCAGTTCAAGACACAGACTGAGGTGTATGTAAAACATGTCTATTTGAATGTGCCCGGGCAGAGGGAAAGGTATTGCTACTTTAAACATAATGACGGGCCAGGTCGTTTGGCTGAGAATAATGGTGGTTTCGCTTTAAAGCATATCACTCTCATTAGGTTTTTACACACTGGTCATACGTAACTAAAGATGCATGTGTCTGCACACACACACGCACACACACAGACATTGTACTTACTGACACACACAAACACACCCCTACACCCATATCCACCTCTAAAGTCGTTAAGGCCCTTTGAAAAGAGGCCTCATTTGAGAGAAGCAATAAAATTTTTAATCATTTTATTACCAAAAGAGTATTTAACAAGTGGATAATGAAACGCCAAAGGCAGGTTAGCTGAGTTTAACCTTCATAGAGGAAGCCATGTATCACATGCTGCCCCCAGGCATGGTGGGACAGAAATGTCATCCTCCATTATCCACCATACCTGAAGTGTGCTGTTGTTCGGCTGGCTGGCAGGCAGGCAGGCAGGCGTCTCGCTCTGCAAGGCCAGGCTGACGAGAAATTAGGGGGGAATTCAATTAATGGACGTTTTTTACGCACCATGGAGAGGGCACTGCTGCACACACACCTCAACGTGTGATGCATGCACTGGGTAAAGAATGTAACATGCACGTACCTCAAAGCATATCTTCCACATCTCATACTGCGCCGGGCTGCTGATGGGACAGGAGATCAGGAGGAACACATGTTCTTTCCCCTGTTAACAGCCATTGTCTCGCTTCTCCTTGCTTTTCCACTGGACAACCAGCTTAGTTGATTCCTCTGCCCCTAAATAATTATCCCTGATATGATAGTTTAACAGGGTTGATCTGCTTCTTCTCCTCGGTTGGTCAATTAAGGAGAAAATGAGGCAGAAAGGGGCACTCTGAGCGTGCCACCATGAAAGAACCATACCTAACTGCCTGCTTTCCAGTCGCTCATTTAATATCGCTTTATATCGAAATGCAGTGTACTGCACATTGATGGTGTGGTGGACGTAATAAGAACTGAGGAAACCAAAGTAAAGGGAAACAAAAGGACCTGGAGATGGAAGGATACAAGTGGTTTCATAGAAAAGCAATCACCAAGTTTTCAGCAGATGAGAATTACACCCGCCACGTCTGGCATCACCAAGCACAAGTCCATACATTATATCCTGCAATTTCTTTGTCACAGACAGCAATAATTTATGCCTAATAACAAAAAATACTTTATTTTCAATAACAAGGTCCTGTGGTACTTAGAGGGACTGGCCCCCAAAGTTAATTGAAAAGTGTCCTGGCTCTCATTTGCATAAGAAACACATTTAAAGGTGAAAAATTATAAATAAATACGCAGCCACCTGTGAAATATGGCTTTTGGCCTGCTGGTCATTTATAACTTTGCCTTTAATTACGTGACAGGCTGGGCTTCTACAGCTGTAATGAGAGGATAGAGTGATGGAGAGGAATGTGTGAGAGACAGAGGACTATAGGTCATTTACTGTAAGATCAGACAAACATGTTTAAAGATGCTTCCTGATGTAGTGAAGAGACATACTCACAGAAAGCATAGTTTTGGAAATTTATGATCATTCAATCCTACCACATATGGATCTAAGTGAACACAGACAGTACTTTCACATGGTCACTTTAAAAACTTTACTTATGCTTCACACTATGCTTTACATTTTTTTAAATCTGACATCTACTTCCAAGTCGAATCTGTGTTTCTTAAAAAGAGGTTGGTACGTTCTAATAAGCAATTCAATGATGCAACCGAAGCACCAAGATAAAAAAAAATAATAATTTGTTAAAAAATAAGTTCATTTGGATTTGAACTTTGTTTGTCAAAAATG